AGATCAAAGGCAAAAGAAAAGGAAAAGAAAAATTAAACCCAGAGAAAATTTAAAATAAAAATTGTAAAAATTAAATTGAAAAATAGGAGTAAAGAGAAAAAAAAGGACACTATATAAAGAATAGGCCCAGAGTAAATTAAAACTGTAAAACTTACCTTATTATCAACAACAACAATCTTACACACCGCACGAGATCGTACAGATACAAATATCTTTTGGGTACGGGTTAACCAATTGTTGGTACGGATCGACCTAAATTTGTGTACGGGTTAACCAAAGTGGGTAAGGACAGGTGCCTTCAGTAGAGTAGAAAAAACACTCTACACTTAAGATCATTCACGACTCGTACAGTAGGGAGGCCACTCAGAATCTATGACGTAATAACACCAGTACTGCTGACTGTAGTAAACTGTACACTTGAAAGCCTAGTAGGCCTAGCTAAACACCTTGGCTAAACTAGAGTAGAAGGACCTCACTCAGTCGCGGCCTGGCCTTTCTTCTTATGCTCGTAGTAGCTTAGCCTTAACTAGGTAGGCCTAGTGTCTAGAGAGAGAGGTCTAGCACAAAAGGCCGAGCTAGAAATGAACATTAAAGATTTTAAATAATCACAAAAATACTCTGTATTTTCGTTGTTCAATTGTTAACAACGCATACGTTCAATTACCTCACACATCACATGGATGACACAGGCAGGCAGCAGGCTGGATGGTCAACATGTCGAAAACACACACGTTTGATAGTAGACGAATGAGGGCGCTTCGTATGGAACGCCCGGGGTGCATTTATTGCTGCAGTTCGCACTGGATGTTCACATTCAAAATAATGACAGCTGCGATGCGGAGGTAAGGTAACGCGGTTACTAATGCGTTTACACGGCCACTTAACACCTATATCACCGGATAAACGCGATCATCACGGTGCTCTCCTGCCGTTTAAACAAGGCTATAGTGACTTAACTGCCGCTTTAGATTTTCCTAACCTTTGTTTTTATTGTACTGATTTGTGTAATGTTCTTGGTTAAAAAAATAAATGAATTGAATGAAATGAGAAGATTATTATATTACTTATCTCAAGTGATCACCAGCAGCAGTGATTCTGTCAACGGATCCCGTCAATGACGGCCATGTGTCTTCTGAGGAAGATGGCTACCTAACAGTATTCATATTGATTTTTTAAACGGTGATGACAAAACATTCTGTATGATTTTATTCTTTTTAAGGTATTTTGTGTACCTTGTGTATTATATATTATGTTGTAAAATTAATGCAAACAAAAAATATATTTAAAAAAAAATTTCATCGTTATCATAATAATAACCATCATCAGAAAGCAAGTATTTATACTGCGGATTCCTTGATTCTTCTCTTAATTTCATTCTCCATAAAACGTAACATAACCACAAATTTTGTTCTTTTTGATTGCAACTACATCACATACTACTCTTATTACAGTTGCTGTTGCTAGGCTGACCAAGCAGCCAGAACAATAAGCAGCTTGCCAGCTTTGAATAACTGTAAAACATGCTGTAACAAAATATGTAGATGAGAATATACTTGAATTAACTTAAAAGAACAAAAAGTGAAAGAATAGGGATTTGCAACCTATACATTTCATTAAAACAGTGACAAGATGTGTTGTTTGTTACTGTATGTATCAAATGATATCAATAAATCGGTGTTATTATTGTGTATAATTTATAAATTGTGTATACTGTAATTTGTTTTTATGGTTATTCACTAGTAACTGTAACACTTAAAAAGTGGGTTATGTTTAGATTATTCTGTTAATGGTAATTGCTGAAATTGAGGTATTGTATTTGGTATTATTTCTAAAGAACATTACTTATATTGTGACAATAAAAAAATACTAAAGTACTGTAATACAAAAGTAATGATATAGACTTTAAAAATCATAATGAAAATTTAATATTTAACCTTTACCAATGATGTACTAATTATATGTTTGATATTATTATAATACCAATGTCGTATTCTGATTTAATTAGTTTGAAAAAGTGTATGAAAAATAGACTGAATTATATTTTACTGCTGTATAAGCAAATAATGAAATACAGTACTCAGTAATACAGAAATAAGAATACAGATTCATTAATTGTAATAAAAACAACATATCTCAACTTTACCACCAAAACACAATAGCAGTATAACCTTACAACATTTATATTAACAATTCAAGTACTGTAATTTATAATTCTTATATCTATAATAATATTTCATAGCAGAATGACAGTAGTGGAATGACACATCTTATAAATTGCAGCACTTCACTTAAAGTGTTTCATTAAGTTTGTTTATTATCTGACAAGTCAACAAATTGCAGTTGTACTAGCAATAAAGCTCTAAAATGCAAATTCGGTTCAGCCTTTTATTCCACCAAATTTCCACTATTTCCTCAATAGATGAACAAGTTCCGTAAATTTCCAATTTTCCGATTTACTGAAATCATTAACAAAATAATTAAAAACAATCAAAATTATTAACAACAGTATTCATATAAAAAGCAACATACAGTTTTAGCCTATCATAAACACAGATTGGCAATCAACAATAAAGCCTAAGAAATTTCACCATCCTGTTATATGCATAAATAAATTGTGATATCCATTCTAATACACATTAACTGAACAACTAAATCTAGACAAAATTAAACAGCAAATAACAATAATATCAAATTAGCTCACCATAAGGTTGAGCTTCCTTCATTTTACTATCACATACTAGCCCTAATAGTATTACTGCACTACCTACTGTAGGTGTGCTCTGCACTGTGTTAATGACTGAACTGAACTGGTAATGAAACAAAGAATGGCTGACAAAGAGAGCACCTGGCTACTATGCAAATTAGAGTAAAGGTAGAACAAAAACAAACTGATCAAGTTTGCAACTCAAGAAACCTTCACAAATAAGGCAGAAACTAAATAATAGACATTACAGCAGTAGGCCTACTACCTTTTTTTCACAAAACAGTTTAAAAAAGGGTTTTTAACCTTGCAGTAAGTATTATTCGGACAAAGTTATATAACCTAGAAAGCCTCATAATGATATTTCACACTATTGGCATGTTTGTTGGGTGGCGGTTGGATGGGGTGCATTTTGAGTTACCTCATTTGGCTTCAAATTTGCAAACACAGGGATCAATTATCCAAAAGTAAACAGCAAAATTTAAAAAAATTTGTGTAACATTATGAATATGTGTACAGTTTTTGAATCTGCTTGTTTACAAACACAATGCAACACATCATGTACATACGAAACATACATACGCACATGCTATATAAATCAGGTTCATTACAAAGTTTCTATGCTTAATTTAGTTATTGATTGATACTCCATAATTAAAAAACTAGTACATGATTATTAGACTAGGTAGTTCACTAAACATAATACAGTGTTTCTATGATAAAAAGTATTCTAAAAAACTATTCTTACACAAATTTCAAACTGATAAAATATTCCATACAAAACATATTCATTTTAAAATAAAGCATTTATCATGCAATTTATACAGTCTATCTAATATTATTTTTATCTAAAACAGTAGTCTAAAATTACAAAAATAGCAGAAATCTTTTCTACATCAAAGGGACTTTTTTTAAACAATTTACGAGGATGGCCTCTGTTACCTTCTTGTATTACACAAAATAGATTGGGATCCACTTTTGTACAACTGTTAAAGACTTCGAAAACTTCAATGAGGTCACCATGAATTTAAAACCATTTAAATTTTTGAACAATGATGCAATGATTTACAATTACATAATTCCCTTGCTATGGATATCAGATAATAAAATTAATATTGTTTTTATTTTTTATTACCTAACTGTAAAAAGAGGCTTGGTAAAGCAACTATCAATCATTCAATTAATCTTTATTCCATTACAAACAACACAAAAGTTAGAATTTGTTGGAAAGATAAAAACCATGACAAGCAAATCTTTTACCAGTAGGTTCCTTTAAAAAATGAGATTTATATAGCGCTTTATACCAAAATGGTCTCAAAATTCTCCAAAAAGGTTGTCCATCATCAAAGTAGATCAAATTTTGCATAAACTAAAAAACTAAATCATTTTCACATATCATAAAACAACATTGTTAATTGAATTTACGTGAACTTCATGCAAAACACGTTTTTTATGCCGAATTTCGGCTTGGGTATTGAGTAAATTAAATTTACATGGGCCACGGTACGTCGTGTCACAGCATAAATATGTACCAAAAATGGTAACACTTACATCCACCCTTTAGAATTTTGCACTTTAAAAAAATTCTGGTGAGAGGGCTGATATAAACAAATATACACTATTATATTATTATTTATCTATTTATTTATTGCGTTTATGGTGCTACGTACCAATTTTTAATGGAAAACTTGGAGGGAAAAAATTTAAGAAAATAAAAAAATATACAAAAACAAAAAAAAGTAAAAAATCTAAACTATTGCGCACTGTTTGCAAAATTCCTTTGAGCTGGATGGACAGGAGCCTTTTGTATTGATGTATAGAAGAATTAACCATTGCATTACCTCCATTGGTGATCCAGTAGGCCTATATGTTCCTCTCAGGCTTTCTAATCACTCTAGATAGAGGCTTGGTACAGCAACTATATCCCGTTTTAACATCCTTGATGCTACTTTCATCTTAAATGCAAACTCTAATTTGCCAATATTCTCACAAGCAATGCGTATTTCGCGACATGTATAAATTAACTGTTGCATTATATGAACAATCTCCCCTTCTGGAGTATCACCAGCTAAATTCTCACTTGCGAGATGTATGATTTCTTCAAATGACTGTAATTGAATATATAGATGGTCATTACATTAATTTATATATCAATATCCTCTAATGTAGCTAGTACAAATATACTCAAGACATACAGTAAACACCCTTATAAAAAAAACTACAGGCTGAAGTTTTTAAATTAGATGCCAATTACACAAAATAAATTTGAGAAGGTGGTTGGGATTTCAAACCACACGCTGACCATTCTTTGTTGGCCATGCTTCGATACCCCAGCCTGTATTGCTGACAGGCTGTAAAGTAGTTCACCCTATGCAAGCCTATATGCAAGCATATCATGGCATATAAATATGATGAATTAATGTTAACCCCCTAGTTTCCTTTATTCAACTTCTATTGGACACCTAGTATTATGCGCTATACCAGTCTACAGTCTTTTATTGACAATAAATTCTTTGTTGAAAGGTAAAATAAAAATTATTACATAATTAGGATAATAACTTACATGTCCGCTGGCCCATTCTAACACCACATCTGCAAAACATTTTTTGAATTGGTCATCATAATCTTTGACTTCATTATTGCTATCGTACTCCAGCTCATAACGAGCTATTCTTTCTGCGATGGATTTGATATTCTCTATAACCTATAATGGAAATATATATTTGTTTTGAATACTAAACCAACATTATTTTAAGACAAAATCACTAAAATTTTATATTTTATTCACAATAAATGTGCAAAAATAATACAGGCTTATCACATACACTACATCACATTGACTGCCAAATCTGAAATTAAAAAAATTTTAATTACTGTACTTGTGGTTGGGATTTTAAAGGAGGTTGTGTATTCACCGCTGTCTGTTTGTCTGTTAGCGAGGTTACGCAAACAAATATGGATTATTATAAAATATACTGGAATGGTAACGATGAAAAAAGAGAGGATTAAATATTGGAGAGAAAAGGTCAAAGGACAAGTTCAAGGTCACATAAAGAAAATGCACGGCCTGTGTATTGTTCGATATTCAGGCACAGGGTAGAAAATAATGGAATTCACATCATACACAGCCTGCGTATTTTTCAGTATTTAGGGAGACGGCGGAGGTGTGCACTCTAGAGTGAATAGTTATAATCTATGATGCACTTAATAAGGAAAAATGAGAGACAATGATGTTCTGTAGAGCATCATCAAAATTTTATCACCATCATCAAAATTATATGGAGAAAGATAAGCTAATTCCAAAAAACAGAAACAGTGTATTTTGTTTAGTATGGTGTGTATCCTTGGTCAATGATTTTTGTTCATAAAAGGATGTGTGTTGGTACCTCATCAACTTTTTCAGAGATCACATATTCACTAGGTTGTTTTCCATGATAAACCATACAGGACAACACTGCAGCAATCTCTTCTGGCTCTAAATCATCAAGAATGCCTTCAAAGATAACCTCAGTCAATATGACCTCATGATGACTAAAGTTGCAGGCTACTATGCCCTTTGGCTGAATCTCCATGTCTTCATTAAAATAATCCAGACCTTTCAACACCTAACAAGAAAGAATAAAATAAACATAATTTCATTATTGTACCATACAATAAATAGAATAAAGTCTAATTTTTAACACAGTTAATACAGAATTTTTAGCGTAATTGAAATAATCATAATTTTAAGACATTACAAAAATGCAAAATAGCTGGACCTCAGTTGGAAGTATGCGCCCACCAGATGTGCCTTTAAGCAAATAAAAGAATTTGCAAACCATCCAACATTGCTCGGGAGCAAAGAAAGTCTTGTAAAACAGCCACAATAATACCACTATCCCAAGTTTATAACTCAACTTCTTTTATTGATATACGACTGATGTCCCTACTTCTCCATACCCCACTACTCTTTGCAAGAGTATCTCTTGGAATGGCTAAAATTTTCACAAGCAAATCATTAAGCAAATTATTTTTGAACCAACCTTTTATTCTGGATCAGTCAAATGGTGAAGGAATCAAGAAATCAACAAATATCTATTGTCAATAATACAACATGATCCAGATGCTTAGTTTACTGGTGTTGCAACCAACGTTATTCAACATCTTGCAGCAGAAACACTCGGAAGGAACCATGTATTTTCCTATTATTGAGCGTCACTGGCGCTAGTTGTTTTACAATTACTAACCCAAGTCATTTGATCCGAGTCACCGATTGTGTCTATTGCAATCACATTAGGATATGACACCCACGAGAGCAAATGTTACCAAATGAAAATTAGTTTCTTAAAAACACTACCACAAATCAAAAATTTCAAATTCATTGGAGATACAACTGTTTTGTTAAATAAGCATTATGAGCATATTACACATAATACGCATAGTACCTTTTGTCTTTTTTTAACTCGGGGCAGCAAAAACAAATTTTCTTTTTCTTTCTGAGAGAGTTTTTCTTCAGCTTCTATTACTTTCTCCTTTAATTCTTGTCGTTTTGCATAATTTTCATACTGCAGATATATAAAATATGTAGAAAAATATAAATATGAATAAAACATAGAAGCACAAGATTAAAATGTTATACCATACTGGTCTTTAGTGAATATCACTTTTTTTAATTATATGGTCAAAAACATAATATTTTTAAATACAGATATTTCTTTTCCAGTAAGGATACTAAAAAACTTAACCAGGGCCACCAAGAAGAAAATATTATCATCATCATTGTCATCACTACCATTGCAGTCGTAATTGTCTTCATCACTTCATCACAAAAACCACCAGGCCTAGCATTTTTCCATCACTGCTAACACGTGGTTTAAAATTTTAATCCTTACTGCTTTTTCAAACAACAGATATAATTCTATAAAAGTAAAAATGAATAACAATTACATTCAATGTAACCTTACATGTCTTTGTAGATGTTTGCACTGAAGACATTGATATGTTATGACCTTTCGTTCATAATGCTTTATATTCATGAATTCCATTGGCTCGCCTTTGGTTGATTCACTTTTTGCACAACGATGCAGCATCTTCATAGCTCTTTTGGTGAACAAGCTGGAAGGTACAACACTGCAAAAATATGATTAACAAATTTCAATAGTTTCCAATACTTCAAAATTAATTTTTAATTACAAATTTACAGCATTTATCAATCAGAATTAATAAATGTTATTTCTAATGCCTTTCAATACCCATATAAAATTCATGATGTGAATGTTTTAAAGGTTATAGCATGCAACATAATTATGAATAATTTGCAGGAGAGGCCAGAAATGTGCAGTGCATCATGAGGTTGTATCAGTTTAAACAATATTACACATGGAACCACAGTCTTATATAAAAATGTAAAAATGATATATTTCTAATAATAAATTAGTTTTGTTTACCTTGACAAAGCAATTTGTTCTGATGTAGTAGCATCTATTGATATAACCTCTCTTGTTAAGGTAAAATCACCATCTTCTAACTCTACAACATCACATGAATTGCTGAAATCACTCTTGGGCAGATATATTTCTCTCACCATTGGAACTTTTAGCTTGGTTTTTGGTGCACTCTTAGAAGTTTCTTTATCATACATAACTATGGTTTTGAACTTCTTGGAATCTGGGTCAACTTTTGATATGATGATTCCTAGAACATTCCTGTGTTCCCGTGAGTTGACAACAACAACTTGTCCAACACTGCATTTAGACTGATAAAGAATGAGGTGAACTTAAACTAATAGACCTAAATGTATATTATATAAAAAAATTGTAATAAATTTAAAATAATGCAAAACACTGAAAAAGAACAATGCTGTGGAAAAAATAGCTGGATTGTGTTAGAAGCAACCAAACAAACCAGTTTTTCCAGATGGACAATAATCATCTCACCAAAATGTTATTTATCTTATCTTATATAATTTTATTCTATACACTAATAATGGTGAAGAAACAACACAACAAAATTCAGGTATCAAAATCTGCAGCAGAACATTTAAACATGATTACATTGAGAGAGTTCTGAGAACAGGATGAAATAAAATAACAGATACTGTATATGCCTCTAATATGTCAACAGTGTCATCTGATTTTATCAGTGTCTTTGTTATTTATATACATACATACATACGTATAGGATTCTGTGGTCTAATTTATGATACTCGCATTAATAGCGAGAGGTTGCAGGTTTGAATCCCGCCAGAGACACATTTTTCATACAACCAAATACGGAACTTTTCACTGAAGGACTATTACAAGCAATTGTTACCAGTTTTTTTTTATTTTTAGATATAGATATAAATTACCCAGACAAAAAAGAAAAAAAAATTCTTCAGAAGGTGATCACCACATGTTAGATATAGGCATACATATACATATGTTTTTTAAGTTTATTAGCTCAATTATCTGATATTTCAACACAACTGACAGTTTAACCAGAAAGTCTTCTTCCATACTTTAATATCTTACCTGTAAATCTGATCTTAAAGAATGAATCTTCTTGCACATGTCGTAGTACTCTGAAAGATCATTCCTGCATATTAAACAAGGCACACGTTCAATCCTCATTAACTCAAGATTCAAAGTTGCAACTTCCTCTTTTGTAGAATCTGTGCAATACTCTGCAAAGCTTTGCCTCAGAATATCCTCCACTTGAAACTTAGACCTCTTAGCTAGATTCAAGATCATATTATCCTTGGGGTGAAACTGAGACTCAACAGGACAAGGATTCCCCTATGGGTAAAAAAAAAATGATAATTCTACACCAGAGACAAAACACATACCCAGTAACACAAGTGTTGTTTCAATCTGATAGACCTGATTAATACATGTATATTTCTCTACTGGTGTTTGTAACAAGACCATTTTGATAATAGTAAGGAAAGTAAATAATAGTGAGGAAAGTAAATAAAGATCATAAAGCCTACAATGTACTTGACATTTCAACAATACATACAATTAAATAAATGATTTTAAAAAAACAAGACAGAACAACTCAACTTGCACATCAGCTTGTAGCATGAAATCAATTTTGGTATATATTTTTAAAAAAGTAACTTGTAAAGTAGATGTAAGCCAAAAATCAGTGTAACTGTCAACACAAGAAGTTATTAACATGTTATTCTCACCTGTTGTAAACTTCTTAATACTGATACCTCTTGCATGCTCTCTTCATATAGGATGATGGAGAAACCGCAGTCATCTTTGCCTCTTCTGCCTGCTCTGCCCGCCATCTGGATGTACTCTGCAGGATTCAGAGTGCGTACCTCCTCGCCATCAAACTTTTTAACTGAATCAAAGATCACTGTTCTTGCTGGCATGTTAACACCACTAGCAAACGTCTCTGTAGCAAACAGTACCTAAAATAATAAATTAAAAAAGTAAAAAAAAAAAAGAAATATTGCTCTTTAAACAACAGGAAACCCAGCACTTACAAAATACAACTAAAGCTAAAATACAAATTAAACTATTAGAGATTATGTACAGTTAACGATGAGGCAATGATGCACACTGGAAACAATATTTTTAACAAATTTATATAGGATTTATTTTGAAAAAATGCTCATGGTACTTCTTTCCCTGGTGCTATAACTTTCAATGAGGATATTCAAGGAGCCTCCAAGTGATAATACTTTGATTAAGATTAAAATCTGACATTGGCTGGAGAATTGTGATATCAAATGCAAAAGTATTCACAGTAAAACACAAGTACCTTCACAAGATTATCTTCAAATAGACGCTCAATTATTTCTTTCATACGAGGTAAGACTCCACTATGGTGATAAGCTATACCCCTCATCAGCATCTCACTCAACTCAAGAATCTGAAATATGCAATGAAATTTGAAAATCAAAAAATGGTTTTCATTATTAAAATCCAGGAACTTTCCCTATTTTCATTTAAATTTGAATTACTCATAATTCCCTCAATTACTAATAATAACTAGCTTAGATATTAATCTATCATTGATAAACATCTAAAATGTCTTTATTAAAACACAGGATATTTTATATGACTATGACTGATATATTTCCATTTTTAATACTTTTATAGATAAATCACCAAACACAAGTCTTTGAGGTATCAAAGTGGGTTAAATGAACTGAGAAAAATTATTGAATAAAACAATACAAAATGAATTAAAATAAAAGAAGGCAAAACAAGCATATTACAGAAACAAGAAGACTTCTTCACAAAACCATACTAATGGTCAGTGTAATAACACAAGGCAGAAAACCTCCTACCCTAATATTGATTTCACAACATACACAATGTTTTAACTAAATGAAGTGGATGACCTGAGATAACTGCTGGTTTGACTGTGTCAGGGTTTGCAACGATGAATTCAAGTAGACTTTAATTCGACTTTTCTCTATACGGTCTGTCAGATCCAAGGACTGTAAAGATATGGCATTCTCTCGGCATTTCTTCCTCACAAATGCGAATACAATCGCTGGTAAATATTTATGTTGCTCTAGCATTTTGACAAATGATGGGTACCGATTTTTTTGCTGAAAGACAAAACAAAACCACTAAATGTCCTGTCTGCCTAGTGTAAGCTCTTGTATAGATGTTTATTTTCTCACTGAAGAACTTTATATGAGTGAGATTTACAGTACCTCAATATTGCCCTACCACCTCCCTCTCTGAGATCTATACTTGTTGACTCATAGAAACAAAGAGAGTGGCTAGACATCACAAATCTCTGGTTTTCTCTCTAACTGTTAAATGTTTAGGTTTTGTTTAATGTACTGATATTGTTAATAATATATATAATATTTTAGGGTAACTGTTGACAGTACTGGAAAGCACTAAAAATGTAGTATACATTTGTACCACTTGTGCTAACTGAAATCTTTCAATATAATATAATACTACTCTCTAAGTTTTTAAAAGTTTGATACTGTATATGCAAATGTTCGATAAGGCATGGTTTTTTTCTTTATAACCAAAATTTATATAGCGCATATCAAAATCTGCAGATTAAACAAGGCACTGGCATCATTATTTCCCTGGTCACTGGATACTGAGTTGGAAGACCCGCACATTGTACAACTTCCTCTGCTCCTTGGGGAGTATCCCTGGTCATTGCTGCTTATATACGCACTACCCATACATTCAATGCCATACCACCCTACCAGGTACCCATTTATACTCCTGGTTGGAGAGGCAAACATAAGTAAAGTGCTTTGCCCGAGGGCACAAGCATTGCAACGAACATTGGTCTCAAACACCCAAGTCCAACACCTTACATGCTGCGACACAGTTGTTTCACCAAATACTAATAATAACAGTAATGAAAACCTCCCAAAAAATGATAGGTAAATATGTACCAAATGTTATTGATATCTAGAAGAGAGATGTAATAAATAATTTAGAAAGATAGTTGTAGTTCTTATCCAGTAAATGATAATTAGGCCTTTTTTATTCATAGTTTCATGTACTTATTTTTTTAAAGACCATCAGAGGAGAGCAGAATAAAAATAAAATTTTGTTTTTCTTATTTAATAGCCAATAGTTTTGTCAAAAACATCCAGACAGATGAGAAAATAGGATGGTTAAATGCTTCATATTTATATAATTAGGAAGAAATATACATATTTGGAGATTTCAAGGCAGTGGAAGTTGTAAAAAAAAAAACTTTAAAATCATTTATTTTTTTCAGATATTTCCACTTTTTTATGGCGATTGGTGTGCTAATTGGCCAAAAATAAATTTTAATTTTTATCCGAAATCATCAATATTTGCAGTCAGCAGGTCCGCAAAACAAGGCATATAAAGAGTCTTCCCTTACATCGGAAATAACTATAAAGGCAGATTTTAAAACGAGGAATATCTTGTACTGGTATTTAAATCATATTTGTATTAAATTGTTTTAGTTTGGTGCTAAAGTTGTATTTTATTGCATTTATTGATTTTTATTATTATTGACTTATTATGTAGCATACATCAGCATAAAATACTCGGTACAATACCTTTACATTTGGTAGGCCTGCTTGTGTCTGGATTCCATTTTGAATTACAGCAGTCAATGCTTGTTCATAACTATAACAAAACATAGAATGATACTGTTACTTCTAATTGAACAAATAGCCTTACATATCAACTCTGCCATCATAACAGTAACAACTTACAGTGAGCTGAGGGTGTTTATAATTGTGGTTGTAACAATAATAATAATAATAATAATAATAATAATAATATTAATAATAATAATATGTTAGACTTCTTGCCAACAAGACAACCAGTGATGATGTTGGTAGTGATGGTGATGCCAGTTATTATGATATGATTGGAAGTTAATTGGCTGTGAAATATCTTAAACTCCATGATATACATTTTTGCAGGAGTAAAATTATGTATTGTTGTATTCCATAAATCAGTATATAACAAATTATAAATAACTATGTTTCTGTAGATATAGACAAAAGCAAGAGAATGGAAGGTAGAGAAGAGAAGAATACAGATAGAATAGAAATTTAAGGGAATAAAAGACTTGAAAGTTTACAGTATTCAAACATTTGTGGTGAACAAATACAAAATATTAAATTTCATTTACTCTTCATTTCTGAAATCTCCAGTCACATCCACCGTTTGGAACAGTTGGCGTTCAACTATCTCCTCAGTTCCAGTATAAACGTAATGCTTTAGAGGAACAGGTCGCTTTTCAGTCTTAATGACATGAATTTTCTTCCTTTTGATCTTCCTAGGTATTGCAATTAAAAGAATTGTAAGTGTTAAAAGTGTGAGAAATATACACATGTCCATCACATGTATGCAACCATTTGACTATGTAATTACTTCATTCATTTGTCATACAAAATTTAAAAAAAAACATCATATAACATATGCTATGCGGATTTTTTGGGCTCAGTACGGACTCTCAACGTATGCATTTTCTTTTAGTTTTAAGGCATATGCGGATTTTATAAGTCCGCAATGACGATATAACGTGTTTATACAACAAAACAAATAAACATATTTGATAGGTATTGCGTAATACACAATTTATTTAAATAAAAACTTACCCAATCCACCTAGCGAATTCCATAGTGTTAGAGAACGTTGCACTCAGAAGGACTAGGTTCACTGTCTTTGGTAGCATGATCAGAGCCTCCTCCCAAACTACACCTCTCTAAACCATTAAGAAAATAGGTACTGTATGTACTTCCTATCTGAATTATATATGCCATTGTGTAGCAAATAGATAAAGATACTAGATTGGTTGAATAATAATAGAGGATCCATTAATTAATTTTATAAAGAATGCAATTCTTTTTTTTAATAGTTTAATACTTCATGAGAAAAACCCTGAGAAGTTATAAAAACTGCTTTCTTAATCATCAATATAATACATACATTTGACAAGGTGCATGCAACAGATTGTTTCTGAACCCTAGAATTTTCCTTGGCCAAATGTACTAAAAAGAGTTCTTAATCATCCAATTTCCAACTGTCACTGTATTTGGTGGTAACGATAATGATAGTGGTGGTGATGATGTTGAAGATAATGATAATGATGGTGATATTAATGGTGAAGTTTGTGCTTATATATTTATTTTAACATTTTAATTCATTGTCCATATAATAGTAAGAGTTTATTTACAGTAACTGGTACTAATGATCAGAATCTCTTCTCAAATTACTCCTCTCTAAAAATGTAAAATGATAGACATGTACTATCTATCTAAATTATAATATTGACCTTGTATATATAGTAATTACATAAAAAATACCAAGATGGTCTGAAGCCAGCCATAAACTGCACCAAAAAAAGGTGCATGTTTAAAAATAAAATCTGACTAGCCGAAGTCGATTCAAAAATTGTAAATAAACAACACAATGTTTTTTAGCTATGAATTGAATGAGAATAATAAGTCTTATAACATTATTCTTACCACTGTTACAAATTATCAACATTATCATAGTTGTGACAACATAAAAATTGCTTACCGATTTATCATTGAAGTAATGGACTTCATCAAAAATAACCCATTCTAGATCATGGAGCTGCTCAGGATCATACAGCATTGACCTGGTAAAATTTATGTGGTGAATATAAGAAAATGAAATATATCAATGAAAAATGTTGCTAGTCCTATACAATGAATATTCCACAAGGCTAAAGCTTTCACTAAAGCAACACTATACATACAGAAATAGCAGTTAGTTTAAAGACAGCTTCTGTAGTTTCCCAAACACTAAACCATGTAACAAATAAAGTATCGATGTAATTACTGTTTTGCATATGGCTTGTATTTTTTTTTAATTTATATTTGTTTTTTTTTTTCACTTCTATGGTAGATGTTTTTGAAATTCAAATTTTCAGAACAGAGTTCTCAACTTGTACAAATTTCCATAGTAGCTACAGAATTTTTGCCTGATTATGGATAATTTCCGCAACCAGTACTTTGCACTCAAGACAAATAATTCTGACATTTTTCATTTTCAAGGGAAATTTTAAAACAATACTGAAATGCATTTTACTAACTTTAGAAGTGTGTATCTCATTTATTGTAGAAGTTCTATAATTGCATTTAGCAAGCATTAGCTTCATAACATTTTCTATGGGTGTTACCCCCCAACCCCCATGAAAGATAAAAAAGCTACTACTGTGTTATTTTTTATATTTTTATTTAAGGATGCAGGACAAAGGTTAAGTCCTATAACAAGGCCCAGCGAAGAATGGGCTTGATCTTATATGCCTAAAACAATGCCAGGGGCCATAGCCGACTTGAATTTAAGGCTGGAACACAGCATGAACCATTTTTACAGCGAGTTGACAATGCAAGCTGAGGTATCTAAGCCTGGCCGGAAGTGAACAGCGTGGGCTCAAACTCCCAACCACAAGGCTGAGAACCTAAGCAGCAACCGCTGCGCCAACCGCCTCCCTCAATATTAATGATTGATATAGTATTTGGGATGACAAAGTGGAAGTGAAGCTTGATTCTTCCAATTCTGGGTTCAAATCCTGGGACAACGCAGGTTTTTCTCATGACAAAAGGTGGTCCAGTCAATAAACATTCCTTGATCTGAATGTGAGTGATTTCTTTGAATAAAAACCTTAAAATTTCGGTTGTCATGATGACACAGGAAGCTTTGTCATTTAACTGTGCATCTCCTGTCTGCAGACCAACGTGTTCTTTACCAAATAAGTCCTTGAAGTCTCGGTACTTTTGGTTGGACAAAGTCTTGATTGGTGAGGTGTAAATTGCTCTGAAAATTAAAACAAACATATTTATTTGATATTGTAATTGAACTAAATTATATAAATGGAAATGTAAATAAAGAGATTAAATATTCCTGGTTAACAGTAAATATTAACTCACAAACATAAATGTACTTGTCTGAAATAATCTCAGAAACTTTTCAATTAGCATACAGACATGTGCAACATGTGAAAACATATAATTTGTTCTTCTTCTGGATCATCGCAAAGCAGTTGCAATTGTTGTCTCTTTTTGCCGCATTAGACGTGGCATACCACATAATTTTTTTTCATACAAATAATCAATCAATTTTTTGCTGCTCCTTGGCTCACCTTTATTGATATTTTGTTTGTTCATATATTATGTTCTTGAATAAAATAAAATAAATTATACTTTTTTAATCATTTTTCTTAATCCTTTTTTCAATTATTTTTGTCTTTATATATTTCCATATTCAATTGAACATTAGGTACTATATTGTATTCAATTAACTTTGTATATATATTGTGATTCTTATTGTGATATTTTAAAGCAATATTTTGAATAATATGATGTAAATATCTTGTATGTATTGATCTTTCCTATTAAATTTAACTCTTACTTGTGATACCATGTTTAAGAGAGAATATTATGGTCTTGCATGAATAAATATTGAGCTCTCTACAGTAGTACCACGTTGAGAGAATACTATGGTAATCCATGCTTGAATGAAAATGGTATGGTAGTCTGGTACAAAAACTGAGCTCTTACTTGGTACCATGCTTGAGTGAGAGTCTTATGGCATATTCTGCTACAACTGTCTTCCCTGCTGATGTGTGAGCTACCACAAACACACTCTGTTTGTTTTCCAGATGCAAAATAGCTTGTTTCTGAAACCCATCCAACTCGAATGGAAACTGCAAAAAAAAATATAATAAAATAAAAACTGGATTTATAATAACAATAAAAACAAAAAACAAAACCCAAGTGATATATCTATACCTCTTTCCACAATTCAAGTGTCAGACACTCAGCTGTGACCCATCAACCACAGGCCATTAATTACCAAAAAGAACGTTATAGCAAAACAATTTCGCTGATGGAATTCCTCAACAGATAGAGAAGTGTCAACCTTTATAGTTCATGATTAATCCTGGTCAAGATAGCCATAAAATTATTTTGAAAGTTAATATTAACGGCTAAAAAAAAACAAAAAAACAAAATTGTGTAGTCCAAGATTCATCAACCTAAAATCTCCAAAATTTAGGGTCAGATTCTTGTTCCTTTCAATTTATATTATCTAATTATCTAGGGTCATCACCACCCCCATTCCAGCAGACCCCTCCATAGGTGACTCAAGCAAAGTAGCAGGTTACACATCTTCAATATATGGTCTTTGCTTTAAACAAAATTTAAAGATCAAAGAACAGAAACAGGCATGGATCCAGCAGGGTCCGTGCCCCCCCCCCACACCCTGTCAGTCACGCCGAAAAACAACAAAAATTGAGAAGAGTTAAGGGAAGAAAGAAAGAGGAAAAAAAGGAAGTGTACCCATGAGTTCAGTGGCAGATTCAGCAGAGGGAGAAAGGAGAGCTCGATTATTTTACCACTCACTAATTTTGAATTTTCTATTGATTGACGACGAACTCAACGCTATATCCCCGACATATATATCAGGATGTAAAAAGGCCACTGACCCTTAGGAGCCCCTTTGGTGCCCCTACTCATGAGGGTCCAGTAGGGTCCTCCCACTATATACCAACCCGAGAAAAAAAAAAGTGCGCCGCAAAAACATATGAAATTGGATAGTAAGAAGGGAAAAAAGCAGAACAATGGTTTTTTTCTGCTAATGCAGGAAAAGTCAAAATATCATTATAGAAATTAAAATTACAAGTAATAAAATGTATTGCTCATTATTATTGAAACTTCAGCAGTTTTTTTTTTTGTTTTGATTCTGTTTGAAAAATATATTAAATGTAAATTGGCTGGAAATTTTAAGTTTAACCCATGATATTGCAACAGTTTAATTGATACACTGCAAAGCTGACCCAATCAGGAAGGTTTCCCAATTCAACAGGCCAACCAGTGTTGCCAACAATTTCAGTAAATTAATTCATATGGAAACCAGTCTTTTTGTACCATACATTCATGCCAGTATTTGCAGGACTTTTGTTGAATTTCACACCAAAATTCCTGATGATAGCGAGTAGTGATGTACAGCTTTTCCATGTTTGTTTAATGTTTAAAAATAAATTAGAAAAATTAAATAAATGATTATATATTTTCACCTACCTTTTGTGCCATTTCAGGAACTCTCTGTTGGGAATCACTAACAGATACAGAAGTGTCAACCGTTACAGCCCATGATTGATCCTGGTCAAGATAAATTAATAATAATGCAAACAAATATTTTGTGTTGCCCAAGATTGACCAACTTAAAATCTCCAAAATCTGGGGTCAGATTCTAATTTTACTAAATAAACGTTTTTAAAAAAGAGCCTAAAAATAATTTTGATTCAAAGTCTTTTAAAACTTTCAATAATACTCTGATATTCTATCCAAAACTAGCCCTCTAGCTACTATTTTATAAACTAAAATTGGGAAAGAGAATGGTTGGCAATAACCCTAAAATTAGACCTAGGCCTATCATAGTAATAAGCGGTGAAAGAGGTAGGTGTAATATGATGGGAACTACTGTAGGTTTGTAAGTGCGGAGCGCTATTATCAATAAGTTGTGCTACGGCATGACATGTTTGTATCACACATGTAAGGAGTAGGTTATTGCTACGCTACCTACCCACATTGTAACTTTAAGCAGAGTCTGTGCTGAATAAAATACCCCTTGTTGCTAAATGCTGATGACTAGTGTCTCATTCTAGTACAATATTTCAGCACGTGCAACTGTTGTGGTTCAGACTCTTAAACTTAAGGCAATGGCAGCGGAACATTTAAAAACGTGGGGTGCAGGGGCATTTCATAAAGTGCTTAATACTGTGACTGTGCCAGGATTTTCCCGTGGGTGACTATGAGAGTGTAACGAGTATCTAGAGTAGGAAAAGGGGCCACCAAGTGCTCCCAGTGGGGGTGTAGGGGATGGAGCCCCCCTGAAGGGCCAGTGTTCCCTTCCTTCCACCACCACTGTTGCCTTGAGGCTGTGGGTTCGAAACCCTCGCTCTGCAAGTTGCTTGTGTCCTTGATCTACATTTGTCTCTCTCTACCCAGGATAAAAGAGTACTGGCATATGATGGGAAGGTAAAACAGACTGCTGTGTGGAAGGATTTGCGAACCTTCCACAGCTTTGCAGAGTCTGGCCCTAGCCAGAGCTTCAGGTTTTGACCATACCCATAGTAAAAAAGAAAATGCAGACCGATTCCCCATTCCCATTGTGGCAACACAACACTTTAGTTTTTTATTACCATAACAAATTCACAATAATACTGGACCTACTATGTATGTAATAAGGGCTTTTCCTCATTGATAATGAGGTGATATTGAAATTGTTTTTAAATGTTTTCAAATCCTTAAGAATAAAAAAAAAATTAAAAAATTGGATATCAGCGAGACTTGAATTTTAAATGCTTTAGAAACATACAAATTTTAATTACCCATTTATTAATATTTAAAATATACATTTTTGATATATGGTCTTTGCTTGAACATAATTTGAAGAAAATCCAAGCCCAGAAAGTAACCAAAGTGCTTGTCAGAAAAAATATAGGAAGACAGAAAAGGGAGAAAAAATCAGAGAAAAACTGTCCCCGACCAATGAAGGCTTCCCAACTCAAACGGCCAATCAGTGTTGCCAATAAATCAGTATCTTCAGGCCTTTTGTTGAATTCAAAATAATTTAATTGTTAAATAGAAATACTTACCTTGTCAATAAGCTTACTGAGAGTAGATTTGTATTCAGCCTCATCAATTTCTGTCATCCACTTTTCCAAAAAGAGTTCCTGTAGATCTTCAGGTACCAAAATCTTTGCCAAATCTTTAATAAGCTGTCCACTCAAATGCATATCCCATAAATTCATCAAACTTTTAGTATCATATACAAAAAGACTAAATATTATAGATCCAATATTTACACCTCGAATATCTATACCATTTGCCAAAAAATATTCACTGGCTTCAGTCATTATGCGTTTAACATATGGAACTTCTGAAACTTTCACATTGCGTATGCTTTCTATAAATCGTTTAAGATGTTCAAGACTATCAGAATTTTCTTGATTTTGTAATCCTGCTTCTGGTTGCTTTTCAACAAGTTTCATTTTCATATCTAAAATCAAAAAAGGAAATGCAAAATTAAAAATATATTATCGACTATGTAATAACTTAACTATTTTACTGACCACTTAAAATTTAAAAAAAATTCTCTTCTCTATTTTAATTTTTCTCTAGCAGTAATATCATCTAATTCAAGCAACTATAATAAACACTCCTCTGAGCAATTTGCTGAGGAATACGGTAAATGCAATCTGACTACAGAACTTTTTCTCATGACTATAGGACAGCTCCACTCCCTAAGCCTCATAAATGCTTGATACATGCTTCTCTTGAATAAGCATTGCTCTTGAATAAACCCCACACCAACACTTTGAGAAACAGTGTTTTAAATACAATGTATAGCCTATAGTGTTAAAATGGAACACAATGAAGCACTGTTGTAAGGTTTAATGTAAGGGTGCCCTCTATGAGTGGTGAGACAATCAGATGGTCCCTCCCAGTGTATGAGACTTTAATAAAGACACCCAATAGACCCCTTGCAATGTTTACATTGGCCTATCTGAAATGCTGGCAACACCCTACACTGGTAGGCAGAAGATTCTCGAAGTATATGAGAAATGCATTGGAAATCAGGATGCTGGTTATCTTTTATTTTGTTGTGCCAAAAATATGCATGTCGGGTTGTCGCGAAACCTTGCATAGTACAGGTATATATTGACTGATGAGCGGAATGGTTAAATCTATTGCCCCAAGATGATGTCCAAAGTTAAATCGCTTTATTCAAAATCAAATACTTAATTACCTTAGATATGCTTTTTAATTTATAATTATATTATATTTATATTGTATTTTAACTTGTTTATTTAATATAAGAAAATGTTTAGATTATTTATGTTAAAGATTATAAGGACCCCAATGTATATAAGCTGTTGAAGCTTTTTTGGGCTATCCATGAAAATCTGTTTTAAAAATTTCTAATTTTTGTTATCACAGTAGTTTAAGTGATTTTTTTTTGTAGTAGATTAAGTGATTTTCAGAATAAATTCAAATCAAATCAAATCAGACATACCCTCATAGGGGTGTGTACAAACAAATGTAAAATTAAAAAATAACAAAAATAACTTGAAATGCCTACTTTTTTCATCCAACAACTTCTCATAAAAACTATCCTCCCAGCCATCTGCTGGGGAAAAAATATTAAGAATATCTGGTATTATTGCATCTTGTGTTATCTTCACAGGAATAACTTTGCCGCTGCCAATAATATTATTATCCACCATTTTTTGAACAGCATTCTCTGTAACAAACATTAGATATCCAGTTGATAATGTAGATGTGAATCCCACGACAACTTTTTTGCATTTATTCACTCCATCAATAAAATTTTCAAGTTTGGGTTTTCCAGGTATATGGTCCCTTTTGCTATAACACCGTAATCCTTGTCTTCGTTTCTGTAACTCGATTATCACTTTATTCTCCCAATCTTCGTCATCGCTTATGACATAAAAATCATATTCTGCATTAAATATGAAAAAATAAAATTGAAGGAATATCAATTTTAAATATAAAGTTATTTTAATTTAAAACATAGTAATGATAAATCCTCAAAGAAAAAAATGCATTTCAGACTATTGGAGGGTTTGAAGTGCATAATAGGCAAAAAAAGGTATTCTATATTCTTTATCTGTAAATATAAAAAATAACAACAAATAAAAATAAAGATCAAATTTGTAGACTTACCATTCTGGCAAGATGTCGCCATATTTGTAAATAGTATTCATTCAACTTCTTGTCTTCTTGATTTGTTTAATGTCAAAATATTTGAAGCCTGTTGATTGATGAAGAAAATGTTTCCTTTTTTCAAGTTTTAGCTCGTAACAGATTTTTATCATCTACACACGTTTCTTAAATTTACAAAAAACCTCAATTGGTAGTCGTTATCTATCAGATTCTTATATGTTTTCAGAGGCACAGATATGGGGCATTTGGCAAAGGGTATAATTGGACTCATGTCCCGAGCCATCTAGGGTGGTCAGGGGCTGTTGGGACCTCAAAAGCTGGGTCTGGGGCCTGCATTTAACGTCAATAGATGCTTAATTGAAACAATAAATAGAGAAACAATGTCATCATTTGAGAAAAATGCAATATGGGAATACAATGTAAATTCAGTCAGGCAACTTGGAGATCTCATTAAAAAAAAAATTTGATCATTCCGGGGAGGGGGGGCTATGATGGGTCATTTTGACTGGGGGTAATCTAAGTCTTGGGCAAAGGGGTGGAGCCTTCAGAAACTACAAAATGTGGAACGAATTTTGGTAAATTTATTATTAACATAGTTACCAACCGTCTTACATTTCAAAGTGATTTTGGATGAAACACATATTTTGCAGAAACATGCGTGATCTTAAATTTGTCACGCATTTAACACAAGTCTATGCGTGATAACGAAATTATCATGAATTCAGGGGGAAATGTATTTAAAATTAGAAGAAATTGGTTTTATTAAAAATATAAAATGTTTGTGTAGGTGTCATGAGTTTGGGTGCTCAAATTAAACATAGGCCTATATTGAAACTCAAATTGTGGGTGGCTTTATTTTTTGCTTATGTACCCAGGGGCGGATTTAGGGGGGAGCCGGCCCGGCCCCGGCCCCCCCCCCTTTTGGGAGGTAAAAAAAGAAAAGAAAAAAGAAAAAAATGATAGCCCAGAATGCCTCAAATGTTATGTTCGGGCGTCTAGAACACAAAAATTTCGCGGGGGCATGCCCCGGACCCCCTACGACAGTGTTGTCTCAATCGGCCCAAATTTCGGCCCCCCCCCCTTTTGGACATTTCTGGATCCGCCCCTGGTACCCGTATTTTAACAACACTCCCTGAAATCATTTTAAAACTGCTTTAAAATGCTCAGATCACCGGAGGGCGTGGCCCCTGCCACTTGGACCTTACCCCTTCCCCAGCCAACTGGTCACGGCGCATTTCAAATCTCTCAGGTTAGTAACTACTGTATGTATTAATACAATATTTGCCAACAAATAGGGCTTTTATTACAGTCAAATTTCTAAGTGTGGGAAGGTTTCTTTATTCAAATTTATGTATGGATTGATGTAGGCCTATCTCGACAATTTCCTCATACTATGCTCTTTGTCTTATATAACAACTCCCTGGTCTTATCAACATCCAAATTCAAATTCTCAGCATAAAATTATTCCCCAAAAAATTTAGTCTAGCCTACAGTCAATTGGGCAAAAAATTAACATTCAACGCAAAAAAACGATGACGATCGGGTATACGAATCAATGGTGGGTGCTCAGGCTTCATGATTGTATAAACAAAGAAATAAATGTACAGAGTACTCATTACACATCTCCGATCCTACCTCCCTATTGATACTGTATTACTGGCCTGTGTGTGGAAGATGAGTTGCTGTCCCCGTGAATCAATGTTTCACTTTTCTTATTGTTGAATGATATAATGTTTAGCTGAGCAAACGAGCACCTCCCCGGTAAATTACAGATGACACCGGAAATGAAGAACATTAATTTACCAGATCGACCCAGGGAGTGATCGATCGTAGCCTAGCCTGAATTTCCGTCTGGGATTTTCCCACTAGAATTCGAGATCTATTTGATTGGCTCACTTAACATGGCTGAATGAATTAGGTCCTCCAACATAAACAAACATTAGGCCTATTTTTTGTTATTTACATTTTTGTCATGAGGGAGACCGTCATGAGCTGTGGGCGGATCCAGAGATCTGAAAGGGTGTGAGGGACGACCGAGAGACGATAGACCTACAATACTCTATGGTAGGCCTATGGCCCCATAAAAAAAAATTAGTTTATCACCCCCTCCGTCATCATTTTTAGGGAAATTCTGATTTTTTTTTTTTAATGAAAATATTATATATTTTTTTTCAAACGGTCGTTTTTTCATCTTTTTTCACTTTTAAAGCTCAGGATTTCTTGCAAATATGTTTATCTGGTACAACAAAAGCATATTTTTTTTAAATATAAATTTGATTTTATTCTTATGACTTTTTATACGTGTCCCTAACTATTTATTTACTTGTGAACATCGGTAAAATGGGGGTGGGGTGAGCAAAAAAACAAAAAAACAAAACAAAAAAAAACCTTCCTCCCTCATCAGTTTTTATTCTTTGAGGGTGTTAAACTAATATTTTTTTATAGGGCCTTACAAGGGCATCGATCCGTTGTGGAAAGTGGGGAGACGAAATGCAAAATAAGGAAGTCTTGGGCCACAGACTTCTTCCCTTGGCGAGGACCAGGCCAGATTAAAGTATACATTTTCAAAATACAGTGGCGGGTCCAGGAATTCTAAATAGAGGGGAGGTCAGAGAGGGACTTTTACATGCGGAGTGCATACCATCTCAGCCCCACCATGGCTTTATGATTTATGGCACCTTTAGTTGGCCGGAAATGGCACTCTCCGACTTAAACTTTAATATAATTTTCTTTTTTCTCCACTTTCAAATTTTGAAAAAATTAGGGAGGTTGGGCCGGCTGTGCCCCCCCCCCCCCTTAAATCTGCCACTGAAATAGTAACATTTTTTTTCCAATTTATCCTGATCTACAGGATTTAGAAAAGCATTTGTGGAATGTGGATGTAACTGTAACCTAACTTTTCACACCTACAGGTAATATGATACACCTTTGGGACAGGTAATGGGCCTTAGCCTCCCTCTACCAATTCATCACTTTGTGACAGCGAGGCGCAGACCTTACGACCTCAAGAGCCCTTGAGTATATTAATATATAAAAGTGTCAGCACATTAACATAAAGTGTCTACTACAGTATTTAGAAACTTTCTGTTTCGAGTATATCTTCAACTTGTCCCAAATATGAAATTTCTAAAATAAATGTTCTGTAATTAGGATAAGGCCCTATGAACTAATTGCATTACTTTATTTATCCTGCCTATGCCTTTTGGCAAATATAATACATATTTAGGCTTAAGTGGTAAGTGTTACAATATAATTAAATAAAATATTTTATTTCATTTCACCCCAACATTGTAAATGCCAAGTAAATAAAATATAAAATCACTATAAAAATGGTAAAAAATCCCCCCCCCAAAAAAAAAAAAAACATTCAAAAATATTGAAAAAAAAACACATTAATGATTAAAACAATTTACGGTACAATAGTTAGAATATATACCAGGAACATAAATAAAAATTTCAATAATTGAAATACAGTTTCATAGCCCAGACCCGTAACTAGGATTTTTTTTTTTTGGGTGGGGGGGGGGTCAAATTTGGAAAAAGCGGAGCCTTTTGAAGATGTTAACGACCAACTAATTGTGCTGACCTCATAAATAAGAGTTCCATCTTGAAACTTGTATTAAAAGTTGCTACTGTCTATAAAGATTATTTGAACAGGATTGTTTTTTTTTTGTTTGTTTGGTTTTTTTTAAGTTTAAGCAATCTTCTTTCAAGATTTGTTTTTGCCATCCAAGCGGAGCCAGCTAGCAAACGGCGGGGTTCGTCCGAACACCCCGAACCCCCCCCCCCCCGGTTACGGGCCTGTGCCAATTGTATGGTAAGATGACTAGTTGTAGAACTTCTGAGCTAAAAATTAATTAACCCTTCTCCAGTTGCAATTGCAACTACCAATATAATGCCTTTTTAAATCCAGCCTCAAAGCCATTTCTGAATGTCAGTCTTTTCAGCCTACTACATTTTTTCCCTTTTTTTTATTATGTTGTTTGTTTTGTTGTTTTTAATAATTGTAATATTTATAATGCGTCAATTCCAATTTTGATCAAAGGCGCAGTTTAGTACCATAACTCAACAAACCTCTCTATACCACTTGTATAGATTGTAATATCATGGCATATTTACTATATGCCATTGCCAGAATTTAAGACTGAAATCTAGACTAGGCTTATTTTTTTGCCTAAAAATTAGATTTTTGTAAAAATTTCAAATTTATGTCTGCAAACCGTGGTACACAAGCCAAGCATCAAACCATTGCTAAAAATCACATGAATTATAGAACATATATACCGTATGTATATGCATATATATATATGTATATGTATGCCCGGGACCCCTAGGGCTGTCTCTTATACACATCTAGATGTGTATAAGAGACAGATAGTACTCTCCCTGGTTATACCCTCTATGATATAGGTAATAATATAATAGTAACTATAAATTGGGTTGTACATGACCGGGAAGTTTTATATATTTTTTTGACGGGAAGTCAATTGAACGTACAAAGGATAGTTTTTAGATTATAACTGTACCTAAATAATCAAATGCACAGATTTCTGAGGATTGAGATGATAAAAACATTACGGTACTTCACTAAATTAAATTTGAAAAGAATAAATAAATATCTTAGACATCGAATATTTTAGCAAGTTTAAACATTGTTAAATAATTTTAAAAATTAATGAAAATTAGAACTGTTTTGATCACATTTTTAGTATAATTTTGTAAACTATCCACACTACAGTAGCTGTCAACGTCATGGTCTGATAGGCCTAATAGCCCTATGTGATTTACTGTTTATACTCAAGTTTATACCATCTGACAGCTCAATCTCAACAATCTGACAGCTCACTATGGACCATTTCTGCTAACGGGAAAAAATGACGTGAAAATGTTTCCACAGTTTATAACTTCAAATTATTGAAATTTGTGAGATTTTCCATCCAGTAGTACTGATATTTAAGGGGTTATCTGAGATTATTATACAGTAGGGTTTATTAGTATATATAACCTCCAAAAACGAATTATTCGTATTATTACATCATCACCATATAGGTGCAATGCTGAATCACTATTGGTGGACGACGAGAGTTGCTGGTACCGGGTTACCGGGTAGCACAGACACGAAGGGACCCTTAGGGGCGAAGAAAGTCATTGGTCGAGTTCCTAGTCCACATTTCAAGCGCCTTGAGCATCTTACATTAGATGGATATGTGCGCTATATAAAACTACACTATTATTATTATTATTTCATCAACATAATCTTTTGAATATTTATGACATTAATAAGGTACAAGTAGGATGTCTTATGTATAAACACACCCATGAAATGTTACCAAATGTATTTAAGGATCTATTTCAGTACAAAGGTAATGTTCATAACTATCGGACAAGACAGTGTAATAGGCTTCCTATTCCGTTTGTTAGGCTGACTAAAAGCCAATTCTCAATTTGTGTCCATGGTCCGCATGTATGGAACAATATTGATAGTAAACTGAAAACATCAAATACTCTTAAGACTTTTAGTAAACTCCTCAAAAAGGAAATCATCTCAAATTATCAAAATGTACGTATGGAACAACATTGATAGTAGTAAACTAAAACACCAAATACTCATAAGACTTTTAGTAAACTCTGAAAAAAAGGATATCAATAGGTACTTTTATATATTTGTGTGTTTTAATTGTTAGTCTTTGTATCTGTTAAAAGGGTCCGTGAAGACAAGCCTAGGCTTCTAAACTGGTCCCTCGCCATAGTATTGTATGTTTTCTTTTTTCTGTTGCTCATGGTGAAATAAATGTCACATTGATTGATTGATTGATTAGTAGTTTTTAATGCGTCCCCCCACCCTTTTGGAAAGTTAAAAAAAAAAAAGCAAAAGAACAAATTATCGCCTAAAACGCCTCAGAGGTTGTTTTTGAAAAACCGAAAGGTCCACTGATTAATCTCAGATAAGAAAGTATAATACATACTCCAAGTATTAAAATACACGCCATCGTGTTGGGATTCCCAACACGATGGCGTGTATTTCAATACTTGGAGTATGTATTATACTTTCTTAGGTTGTTTTGGGGTGTCTAGAAAATAAAAATTGCGCGGGGGATGCCCGGGACCCCTAGGGTGGTGTTGTCTCGATGTCGATCAGCCCCCTTTTCGCCTCTCTCCTTTTGGACATCTCTGGATCCACCCCTGGTTCAAAGCACTTTCAGTCGGGATTTTATTGTGGAAGACGATATAAAAAAATTCAAGACTATTAACATATACTCTACCGTACCTTATTTCAACACAAATATGACTATATTAAATTTAGAGGGGGCCCAGAGAGGGACTTTCACAGATGGAGGGTCTATGCTACCTCAGGCCCACGATGGTCTTTTTTATCTGTTGCTTGGTGACAAAATGTATTTAATCCTTTTAAATGAACTATTAAAAATTATCTTTTTAATTTTTGAGGTATTTTCTAGTATTTTTAGTTCACTGAGAGATATCTGTCTGTAATCCTAACGCTAATATTAGTTTATACTTTAATCTGGTTAAGGTTTCCAGATTCTATGGCAGACGTTACAACATTTTAAATAAAGACATCACTGCAAATATCTTTATTCTTTTTGTAAATCTTATTTTTTGTAAACATTATTTGAAACAAAATGTGGTTTTCAAAAGAAATTATTGGTATTATATTATTAATTTGTTATTAATATTTCCACATATTATAACATTCAAGATAGAATACACATGAGGATACATAAAGTGTGATACCCTATTATTAATTTTGTTGAAAAAAAAAAGCATTTAAAATACAATCACAAGGA